GCTTCGGTGAAAAACACAGACCCGCCATGATAGTTATGATGCATTAGTTGACCGGCATGTGTCCTTTGACCCGGCCATTTACCAATCAAAATGTCGCATGGTAATGCCGGTAGAACCCGAAGTTTTCCGAATAATCGTGATCATAAAAATTACATTGCGGAAGTAAAGCGATGTTGTAGCACGATGTGTTGGTATGAATTTCAGATGAAAACTGCATGATGGTTTTCGAAAGAGGTGATTAGAAATTTTTAAAAGGTAAAAAAAAGTATTGAAAGAAGAGTTTTTACATAATTTATGATAACAGTTCAAATGTATTTTACCCAATAACGCAATAAACGTGTTTTTTTCTTGAGTAGCGTAAACTGATCGTGAACTCCGATTTTTCCCATGTTATATCGGGTGGAATTGATTTTGAAAGAATTTTAGCTTTCAAACTAAAGACTGCGTTTATCGTCAGAAAGTATTTACTTACAAACAAAGAGGTGCTAATTTTACAAAATTGACTTGTATTGTTCAAAGCCGCTACCACATCACGCGACTATGTCTATTGTTTACAAATTATTTTCCACGACTCGCAGGATTTGTGTCGGTCGGTACGCAAGCATAATAACAATATGACAATAGTCGGAAGCGTTTCCGCGGTGGTCGCTAATTTTGAGTGCCGGTCAGGCCGACCAGCGTGACGAGATCCCCCAATGAAAAGAAGCACTGTGGCGGTCTTGCTAATCACCGTGGCGGTGTCAGACCGGTGTGGCGGCAAATCGAAGCACTGTGGCGGGACCGCCACGCTGTTTACATCCTGGGGAGAACACTGTTAAAAGAACTTATACTGAGTGTACTAAAGAAACTCCTGTGCACATAGTCTCACTTATTTACTATTAATTATGTGATCATTTAACAAATATTAATATGGCTTTAATGCATCAAAAATAATGAAATTTGTAGGGATGCTTTTTAAAGAGCGATGTATACTCACCTTTTTCTTTGTACATCCTGACTGCACCAATATGGCAAAGTCGCCAATCTCATGCGGTACTTCGTGCAAAAGAATCGTTATGGTAGTAATTACGCCTATAGTTCTTCCCATCAAGAAAGAAGCACCGATAGCCAATCCATCGGTGAAATTATGAGTGAAGTCGGCAGCAAGGTTCAAATACCCGGCAACTTTGATGTCGCTTTCTTCTTCAGCATTCTCTGTGAGAAAACAAAATACAACATGCAAGTCAGAACATAGATAACAATATGCATAAGTTAAGGATTAAGAAATCAAATACTTGGGTACAGCCTGGTGACTGGCTGTATGTAGTCTATTCTCTGGGGTGGAGCTACGTCACTAGCACATGCACCACTGTACTATGTATTTTTATGGGCTGTGTGCGGTCGAAGAGCTGAAAATGGCACAAACTCAACTTTGACTTTGAGGTAATTCTGAGCAACCAAATTATATACATGTACCGTATGTGTATGAGGTGTAGCTAAGGGTTGTAGTCTTGTTACAAAGTCCACTCAAGATGTTTACTTATAAAATATTGAAGCAGTCAGACTAGCCGTTGTCAAGAAGAAGTTGAAAATACACTGTAGCGCTTTTTACCAAAAAATATATAAACAAATATTAAGATTTAAAGATCTATCCAAGGTACATACACAATGTGTATCAAAGCAAGCAGACTTGCTGTTTTCAAGAAGAAGTTGAAAATGTAAAGTTGATGACTAAATCGACAGCAGAGCTAAAAAGTTGCTGCAGGACATGGGAAACTAGATGCCAGACAACAATGGACAATTATACTGTGGAATACTTTATTTTCGCTGGAATTAATTTTCGCTGAAAAGGCTTTTTGGGCGTTTTGTATGGAATTTATTTTCACTGATTTTTGATGAGTTTAATGTGAAATATAGGAAAAAAAGTATATTCGCTGGATTTTATTTTCACGGAATCATTCCTTCAGCGAAAATAGCGAAAATAAATTCCAAGCGAAAATAAAGTATTCAACAGTATTACCAACAGCTCTGTCTGTCATCTTAGGTGACATTGGATTTAAAAAAAGTGGTATTTCAACATTTAAAGTGAACAGGTTGTGACCAAAACCAGCCTACGAAATACAAGTGACTAGTTGCAAAGATGAACTGCAAAGAGAAATTGTTTTCATCATGCATACATGTATGTTCACTTTATATACAGTACAATCAGAGCATAACTTAAGTACAAAGCTGAATGACTATCAGCTACCATTGCCATTTTATAAGAATTCACAATCGCGGTTTTAAAAGACAGCTGAGTGAAGTTTAAGCCAGCACAAAGCTAGATAAATGTTAAGTTTTGTCCAGACTGTACACTAAGCTGTTTTAAGCACTTTTGTCATGAACATTAGCCGTTTCCGGACTAGTGATACAATCCTACAAA